TCTCTGATGGCCATTGTTTGTATGTGCACTCATTTAAGAACACATTACCAGGTAACTGCTGTGGATCCAACACCATCTCTATATTTTGTCACTCACTCACATGAATGTTTTGCAGTGATTTTTGGGTTTCAGTTATTCATGACTTTCCTGTGGGTCTCATTTAAATTCTTTACCCATATACAAATCATGTACTTGATACCACATACAACTCACTATTTGGTAGGTTGTTGATAGTACAGTAAACAATGTTCTCATTGTCGATGAATAATAAAACAATTTTGGTAAGAATGTGTGAAAATCTGATTCAGAATGACCATAAGTAAAGTGTTTTTGTTCAATATGTATCTCAACTGAATTAGATATTGTTTGACACACCCACAAGTCACAACGATACACAGAGAACTCATAAAAGGCATTGTAATACAAGATGTTGTATGACACAGAACTGATACATGTTAATGTATGACACACAGAACTGATACATGTTAATGTATGACACACAGAACTGATATATGATGTGTGACACACAGAAGTGATACTTGATGTCATATCATACACAAAACTGATACAAGACATTGTAATACAAGATGTTGTAAGTCACAGAACTGATACATGTTAATGTATGACACACAGAAGTGATACATGTTAATGTATGACACACAGAACTGATACATGTTAATGTATGACACACCGAACTGATACATGTTAATGTATGACACACCGAACTTATACACGATATTGTATGACACCTAGAAATTATACATGGTGTTGTATGACACACAAAACTGATACATAATTTTGTATGACACCTAGAAATGATACATGATGTTGTATGACACATAAAAATGATACATGTTAATGTATGACACACAGAACTGATACATAATGTTGTACACACTCAGAAAACTGACACATGATATGTATTTTACACACAAAGTGATAGATATAATTGACACACAGAACAGATACATGATTAATGTATACACATGGAACTGATACATGTTAATGTATGACACACCGAACTTATACATGATATTGTATGACACCTAGAAATGATACATGATGTTGTATGACACATAAAAATGATACATGACGTTGTATGACACATAGAACTGATACATGATGTTGTTAAATAAGATGTTGTATCATGCTCAGAAAACTGACACATGATATGGTATTTTACACAAAAGTGATGCAAGATATAATTGACATACAGAACAGATACAAGATTTTGTGATACACATGGAGGTGCTAGTGAATTGTGTTCCTCTGTTTACTATACAGTGTTATACATCTAGTCTCCCAAAGGGTATGATATTTTTTATTCATAAGATTATTGTTATTAAACAGAACATGCCTAAACAACATACCAGGTAAACTTTATATTCATTCTCAAGTTTTTTCTGATATTCTAAGCTATGCTTTTATGAATCATTCCAGGATAACACTGGTAGGGTAGTGGGTGGGAATGGAGGCACAACATCCCGAAATCGATTAAATGTGGTAAATTTTTCCTAGATCTGCAGTGGATACCTGAGATATACAGAGTCCTCACTAGATAAATGTAACCGTAAGTGTCATATTGTGCTCACTCCTTACGGTTACATTCCAGGATAAGTAAGAATACCCCAAAAGATCTGATTATTTCTGTACTGTTTTTATGAAATTGTATTTAGACTACGTTAAAAGTGACAATTTTACCTATTGTACATATAAGAAGATACTTAGGTTGGTGACTTGGTAACAGTTTCCTAGATAGGATAAGAGGTGATAATTTTAATCAAATTTAGGTTTGGCAGAAGTTTTGTGTGATGTTTTACTCATCTTAGATCTAAATGATAACAGTTTTACTAAACTAGCTAGGTTTAACCCATCTAAGATCCGGATGATAACAGTTTTACTAAACTAGCTAGGTTTAACCCATCTAAGATCCGGATGATAACAGTTTTACTAAACTAGCTAGGTTTAACCCATCTAAGATCCGGATGATAACAGTTTTACTAAACTAGCTAGGTTTAACCCATCTAAGATCCGGATGATAACAGTTTTACTTTCTGTGATATGAATTTTTCCAGTTTTGAGTCATGTCTGTCAGTGCTGATGTTATTCCATATTTTTTCAGTTTTAAGCTTGGAATTTTAATCATTCTTATCAGTGACAATTTTACTTAAGGGTATGCAGATGCTACTTTAAACCAACCATGTGGTATCCTGTTTATTTTTGTGTTAGTGTTTAGCTCCACAGCTGTGTGTGATATTACACAAATATTCTGTCATACATCAGCTGTAAACAAAGGCCAATTATAAACAGTTACTGCTTAGAGTAGATGTAGGTGTACAGTTTAACCTCTTACAAAAGGTCAAAGTGGCACAGAATGAAACCTTGATGACTGATTAAAAATCAGTTGGAATGGAGTTAGGCATTTTGTTATTTAGTTATTTCATCAATTCACTTGTTTTTGTTTTGAAAACAATAACAAGGATGATATTTTTCAATTGTGTACAACAATAATATACAGGGGTTAATACTGTGAACACAATGATACTTTATGCAGTAAGTGCACATGACATCTTTATGTCATCAGAATACTAAATATAATTTTACAATGTTATATTTATAGCTATTTTAAACTCAGTTTTATATTATCATTAACCATTACATACACAATACCTATAGATAACTGTATATCACCACAGTATCTGTAGACCTCTAAATTATGTTATATATACACACACATTTTTGTGATAGATTTATCACCCATGAATGTCCAAGGTCATTTTGAGACAAAGTCTCTGGTAGTAGCTAGTGGTTATCTCACTGATCAAGATATGGGAGGTTCACCTCATGCTATTCAGAGTAATATGATAAAGTATCTTGTTGAAGGACACAACTTTGACAACGCAAACTGGTCTGCATCTCAGCTCCCTGAGAAACACAGACCACAATGGGGAAGGGGCGTTAAACCACACACCGCAGATCTTTACTGAGGTTGTGTAGGCCAATACTCTACAAACAAAGCAACTGTGACCCCTGTATACAAGCATATATTAGATGTGTGTTGTACATGATAAATCAGTCGATGATAATTGTTATAAACAGCTTATGTGCTGAAGCATCTGTCACTAAGGCACAGTATCCTTATTGAATCTTTATTGATGTTGCTACCATGACAACAGGTGTGGGAAGCATCTCCCACACAGATGTAGCTCTGATTACTGGCATTTACACAGGTAGACTTCTGTCTTCTACCTTTATTTTCCATTATGAGTACTTGTATAATTATGTTGATATATAAAAATAAATACAGTATATATTTTTGAAAAACAAACTTCAGAGTTAACTGCCCAAAGTTCATTACCATCTCATACTTTGAGACATAGTTACGCTTCCTGTCTTACAAGAATCTCACATGGCACACCTTCATACAAGGAAGTCATACTTCCTTTCCTGTAGGATCTGTCACTGGCCCTTCATATAGGAGTGTCATACTGCCCCTCATTCAGGATCTGTCACTACCCCTTCTCACAGGTTGTCACTGGCCCTTCATATAGGAGTGTCATACTGCCCCTCATTCAGGATCTGTCACTGCTCTTTCATACAGGGGAGTCATACTTCTTTCCTTCTTACAGAATCTGTCACTGCCCCTTCCCACAGGTTGTCACTGGCCCTTCATACAGGTTGTCACTGGCCCTTCATACAGGTTGTCACTGGCCCTTCATACAGGAGTGTCATACTTCTCATCCTACAAGATCAGTCACAGGCTTGTGTGATACAAAAGTGTGCTGTCACAGATGAGAAATGTATAGGGGGTAATCTAGCTTATCTCAACATAGCATGTTTACTATACACTATGTTACATAGAGGTGTAGTTATGGCTTCTATTGATCTTCTAATTGATGACTCAGTTCTAAAATCACATGAAAAGTTGACAACTTATATGATCAGACTTAGTCCTAAAGTATGAAGGGTGCTCTAGCTATCACTGCTAAAATTGTTAGATAGTTGATTTCTCTGTGTGCCTATGCCATCCAGTGTAACATATTACAGAAGTGTTAATGGTTTTTTATTTCAATCACTGGTACATTGCCATTGTGATAATATGTCATGCAAGCTTTTTTGAGATATGGTCGAAGGACACTGAATTTGAATTTTTTCCTGAAATGATAGGACATGTTGGAGATGCAGGTATAAAGGTATAGCAGATTGTTTATGAAAAATACACATTTCACATATATATCTATCTTTATAACTACATAACAATTGCAGTTGCAGTAGAGAAATAAAAATGGTTGTAAACAAGAAAATAAAATGTCTTGATTTCTGACTTGTGATAACCCTGGTTACCAACTAAAAAAATGCTAAGAATGCTAAAATATCACTAATTTCAATTAAAAAGTATACTTTCATAGGAGGAATGTATTTCTGAACATCTTTCTAAAACTGAACCACACTGTCACAGTAACAAATTACTCATGTTTCAGCAAATTCCAATTAGAAACGTCTTCACAACATGAACATATATGGACACTAAGGAAATTTTACTTTCTGTAAAGTTAGCTTTTTGTGTGTCAATGCAGATTTGGGACTTCCCAAATGGTTATCTCCAACACAATGCAAAATATTATTCTGAAATATATGAAGTCCCGCATGGTTCACTACAACATGACAAGACCAATTTTAGCAAGGATTTCTTTTTTTTAATTTTGGTTAAAGCCTTAATAATGGGGTAATCTAATGAACAAAAATAGCACCCATGGCCACACCGAGAAACTGTGTACTTCAACCAATGGCATGAAATACAACATACTATGGCCTTTAAGACTAAGTTGTGTAAAATGGCATATTAGGACAAATATGTACCTCAGCATTGTTTAAAATGCTTTGTAAGTAAGCTGTTACGTGTTTTATGTTATGATTCTGGTTAATAATGTGTTAAACATTAATATTTTAGACTTGGTGCTTACTTTGTCCTATCACAACATGCCTTTATATCTTTACAGCCTACAAAGACTTAAACAGAATCATAAAGAATGGGACATATAGTGAACTACAGGACCGATGGCAGGACGTAAGTGTCACAGTGGTTATTACTGTATTTTCTCTGATTAAGGTGTCCTATTCCGTTTAATGTTAAATCTTCAATAAAGATTTCCAAATTTTTATGGAACTGTTAATTCCTGGCTTATTCATCATAATCCACAAACTGTTAAAGAGAAAAAAGAAGATGAAGAAAGAAAGAAAGAAAAAAACAAACAGAGACACCAGCATTGTCATATAATGCAGGAATACTGGAATTTTTCATCTTCTCTGCACAACTGATGATATTTTCTACATTATAACTTTTTGCAGGGTAACCCTATGTTTTTAAACTGCAATCAGTCACTGGGCTTGTATTAATGCATTCTGTAGATTGAACAGGAAGTTAACCATGGAATGCCTTTATGCGGTAGAAAAATTATGGGACTCTCTACCTTAAGAAGTTGATGTATAGAACTTTAAAATACCTTAAAAAACTGGCTTACCTTGTCGCCTCAAGTGCTTACAACTAGGTATACCTGGTAAAGCAGTATCTTTAAAAATAATTATCAGTGTTAGATTATCTGATGTTTGAACACCTGTAATCTGATAGAGGCATGTTCAATTTTCCATGTCTACATACAGGGTCTTGAAGCGTATTTTGAAAAGTTCTGTTTATTTGTTAAGAATGACTGGTTCTCACCAACCAAGTTTATTATCAGTTGTAATTATGTATTCTGTTAACAATATGATGTATAAAGAGCAGTTGAATTGACAACTTTATCATAAAGTTGATCACTTTATTGTCATAGAACCTGTATATAAAATAAATGAAGATCAACAGATATTTCTGAAAGTATTGTTGAGGTCTTTCTTTGACCTTTGCCCTTTATTACATGCACACTCTAGTACAGTGGCTACAGTTGAAATTGTACCATGTGTGATATAATGGTATATATCACATAATCTGCCTGTTATCCAGTGAATTCACCCATGTAATATTTTTACATATGTCACTAGTTTATATATTCTTATTCATATGAGAATTTCTGAAATTATGTTTAAAGTTTGACTTGTTCCTTTCCAAGACTTGTTGCATAAAATCTCATATGAAAAATTAAAACTTGTGAAAGACCTTATATATATTTGAGGAATGAAATTATCAGCTGCCATTGATAAAAACTACTATATGTGGGTATATCTAGTCAATAAAGGCATAAAAATAACTATCTTTCATTCACTGCTTCTAATGTTAATCAGAATAGTACTTGTTGTGTCTCTGCATTAAAATCTGAGGACTTATCTTGATCAGATTGAAGTGATTCTGAGAATAAATAGATGTTGGTACGTTTTCTAAATACACTAGTGTTTTATACTTGATACACACACAATAATAGTTTTATCAGCTCACCGGAGGGCCCATTGAACTTATGCCATTGTTGGAAGGCCGTCATTCATTCATCGTCCATCAACTTTTCACTTCAAACAACTTTTTCTCAATAACATACAGGCCCAAGGTACTGGTATTGAGCCTTAAGAATACTGTTAAAATGGACTCCCAAGATTGTTCAAATAAATGACCTTGACCCACTTTCAAGGTCTCGGTGGTCAAATATATAAAAATATTTTAACAACTTCTTCTTGGTAATTGAAAGACTGAGGGTATTGATATTTGGCCTGTGGCATGCTAGGATAAAGGGCTACCATGTTGTTCAAATGAATGACCTTGAGCAATTTCAAAGTCACAGGGGTCAAATATGAAATCTTCTTACCACTTCTTCCCATTAACTGAAAGGCCCAGGGTACTGATATTGGACCTGTGGCATGCTAGGATGAAGTGCTACCAAGTTTGTTCAAATGCACAACCTTGTTAAACTTTCACAAGGAAGATTGTTTTAAATTCTTAACAGGTTATTGAAACTTGTTCAGTCACCTTTTAATATTGCACAACTAAATGTCAATCAACCAACTACGTAAGCGATGTAGGCACATTGGGCCTCTTGTTAGCAAGACTTACTAACCAGATCAAACCATGAAACTGTAAAATTGCATAGTCTTTAAAAATAATGTACAGTCTTGTTGTTAAGAGTACCTTCACAAGAATATAACAGATTGTATAAATTACTAATCATTAACACAACATTTTTCTCAATTTTAGTATCATCACAGAAAGAAGATAATCCTTTTTTCAGATTGATGAACTGAAATTTAGATATATATAGATATCAGGAAACCTATAAAACATGTATTTTACATTCACTGTAAGAATTATGGTACATTATTGGTAGTTGTATTTCATTCAATCTATGATCATTATGTTATACAGTTATGACAATGTTTTGTCTTTTTACAGTTGGCAAAGGTTTTTGGTGGTTTGGCAGCCTGTATCATCATAGGTCTAATGTTCATTGTATTTATGCCCATATTTGGATGTGTTTGGTGCTGTGCCTATTGCTGTTGTAAAACATGTGGAAAATCCAAGTCAAAAATGGACCCCAACAGAGCCAAGTGCCAACGAGTTGTCTTCGCCACCTTGCTTTTTGTGTTCACCACATTTATGTTGTAAGTAGTTAAAATTAACATGGTTGATGCAGAGGGCTACACAAACTGAAATGTGTAGGTGTCATATACAAACTGATTGTTATGTTAGGAGTAAACTGATTCTTCTCTGTGGTGACTATACAGACAGACAATTCTCTATATAAACTGATTCTTCTCTGTGATGACCATACAGACAGATAATTCTCTATATAAACTGATTCTTCTCTGTGATGACCATACAGACAGATAATTCTCTATATAAACTGATTCTTCTCTGTGATGACCATACAGACAGATAATTCTCTATATAAACTGATTCTTCTCTGTGATGACCATACAGACAGATAATTCTCTATATAAACTGATTCTTCTCTGTGGTGACCATACAGACAGATAATTCCCTATATAAACTGATTCTTCTCTGTGATGACCATACAGACAGATAATTCTCTATATAAACTGATTCTTCTCTGTGATGACTATACAGACAGATAATTCTCTATATAAACTGATTCTTCTCTGTGATGACCATACAGACAGATAATTCTCTATATAAACTGATTCTTCTCTGTGGTGACCATACAGACAGATAATTCTCTATATAAACTGATTCTTCTCTGTGATGACCATACAGACAGATAATTCTCTATATAAACTGATTCTTCTCTGTGGTGACTATACAGACAGATAATTCTCTATATAAACTGATTCTTCTCTGTGATGACCATACAGACAGATAATTCTCTATATAAACTGATTCTTCTCTGTGGTGACTATACAGACAGATAATTCTCTATATAAACTGATTCTTCTCTGTGATGACCATACAGACAGATAATTCTCTATATAAACTGATTCTTCTCTGTGGTGACCATACAGACAGATAATTCTCTATATAAACTGATTCTTCTCTGTGGTGACTGTGGTGACTATATAAACTGATTCTTCTCTGTGGTGACCATACAGACAGATAATTCTCTATATAAACTGATTCTTCTCTGTGGTGACCATACAGACAGATAATTCTCTATATAAACTGATTCTTCTCTGTGGTGACCATACAGACAGATAATTCTCTATATAAACTGATTCTTCTCTGTGGTGACCATACAGACAGAAGATATCTATATTAACACTATCAGTTTGTTGAACATTTGAAAATATTCTGTTCTAAATATACAAATAAATAGGAAACTGTCTTCACAGACAAAATAAATACATTTGTACATTATTTTGTTTCTATCAGGTCAGGCAGTGTCGTATCAATCATATCCAATGAAATCCTCCATGAAAAGTTGCGAAATGAAGACAATAAAGGACCCGTCGGAATGCTACAAGGAAGCTTTGATAAATTGGAGCAATTTGCAGCTGAAACAGTCAAGGTATACCTCAACTTACTACAGTCTTAATACATTCATAATATGTGATATGTGTTGTGACATTGTTGTCATCTTGTTAATCTCTGACACCTTCATTGTTTTCACCAGGAGATAGAACAGGCAGGCAGTAATACTTTGGATAGGACAGTCGATGGGGTTGTAAGCCGGATACGAGGTACAAAATTTCAATTATTTTCATGAGTAATTTTCAAATAGTCATTCATACTATTTACATATGGAAGTTCTACGTGTGCTGATTTTATACAGTTACTTATTCATTATTTATAGATGTAAAAAATTGGGTGACATGAAAGCAAAGCATGAATAAGATCGGTTGTTCAAGGAGATTGATTTTTTCAAAGGATCTCTGATGAAACTGGACTTTACTGAGGTTTAAAGGCTGAAAAGGATGTTATCATCTCGAAAGGAAATTCTAAAACATTGGCTAACTAACTGTGGCAAAGAAATTGATCAATTTAAGATGACCCATTTGTATTTTAGTTAGTTGATAATACGTCGGAATTCTGTGAGACATCCTATCCCTCTCAAAAAATGGTCTTAAGAATTAATTATAATGCATTATTCATATTTACAAAGAATAATTAAAGTACACAAGTTTTCTAGAGTAGGTAGTATTTGTATACATATCTAGTGCATTCAAGATACCTAAGAATAGGCTCCCTGTAATTGAGATATGTCTATAGTGATCTCCTTGGACCGTACAAGGAAGAGGAAGACACACTTTTTATGGAGTGAAGTATATATTGATTGGGTTGGATTAATTAATTGTTCTTACCTACAGATGCTACTAAATCAACAGTTGATGAAGTAAAGAAGACAATTAATGCAGACAAGTTACTGACAGATGCTGAGAACTTGGGAGGAGGTAACACTGTATTTATTTTTGTATTGTTACAATGTTTTACATTGTAGTAGAGTCATTGTCCACTACCATTAACTTGTGTCATTTCATGTATTATATAAGATATCAAAGCTAGAAAAAAAAAAACTCTCCAGCTTTGAAAATTGCCTTTGGTGAAAGCTTACAGACATGTCTCTGGTGAAGGCTTGGAGACAAGTTTTGAAATATGTTTTGGGAAGGCTTGAAGAGATTTCTTGAATGTAAGCTTGTTAAACATTTTTTTGATGAAGGCTTGAAGACATGTTTTGTGTGTAAGCTTTGAGATATGTTTTGTATGTAAGCTTTGAGATATGTTTTGTATGTAAGCTTTGAGATATGTTTTGTGTGTAAGCTTTGAGATATGTTTTGTATGTAAGCTTTGAGATATGTTTTGTATGTAAGCTTTGAGATATGTTTTGTATGTAAGCTTTGAGATATGTTTTGTGTGTAAGCTTTGAGATATGTTTTGTATGTAAGCTTTGAGATATGTTTTGTATGTAAGGTTTGAGATATGTTTTGTATGTAAGCTTTGAGACATGTTTTGTGTGTAAGCTTTGAGACATGTTTTGTATGTGAGCTTTGAAACATGGTTTGATGAAGGCTTGAAGACATGTTTTGTGTGTAAGCTTTGAAACATGGTTTGATGAAGGCTTGAAGACATGTTTTGTGTGTAAGCTTTGAAACATGGTTTGATGAAGGCTTGAAGACATGTTTTGTGTGTAAGCTTTGAGACATGGTTTGATGAAGGCTTGAAGACATGTTTTGATGAAAGCTTGAAGACATATTTTGTGTGTGTGCTATGAGATGTTTTGTATGTAAGCTTTGAGACATGATTTGTATGTTTGGGTTCAGTACCTAGGACTTTGAATTGCATGCAGTAAGTAAAACTCTGAAACATTTAAACTGGCCCAGCATGATGTCCTGATCAACCTATTACAAGACCTGAGTTTTTCTGTAGTTACATTTTAAGTTAATACCCAATGATATATCCTTTCTTATGATAATACATTTGTGTTTATCAATGCTGGGACCTAATACTGATAAATTGCTTTCCAGATGCCTCAGCTGTTTTGACAGATTTACAGAGCATTTCTACCACACTAGTTATTATAAATGAACTCAATACTAAGATAACGGATACACTAAGAAGTGTCAAAAATGCAGTCAATGATACCTGTATTAGTGAAAACCTCCCTGTTTCATGTCCTGTTCCTTCTCTGGATGCTGGGACAAACTTTGCAGGTGTAAGTATAGAACACTCATGATATCATTACAGGTTTAGTTATTAGTAAAGCAAATTTCATCATAGGATCACTAAGATATTTTGTATTAAGGCTTCAGTGATTATGTAGGTTTATACACTAGATGATGGCGTGTACTCACTGGAAGGAGAAGATGTAAAATAACTATTAGGGTCATAATGGAGACAGTTCTATAGAAAAGAATGACCAGGAAATGTGTGTGTGTTTTAGTGATTGTAAAAAATATTCTTCATCATTTGATATAAAAAAAATCAGTTTGGCAGGTAGATGAAACTGGTCAAAGAATATCCTTTTAATTCAAACATGAAATAAATAAGTATGATATATTTCATAATATTTATGTGCCAAGAAAAGTCTTGTAAGATTGCCTATTTATCAGGCTATTTATTTGATGGCGGTGAAGCCTTAATATGTAAATACATAATAAAGAGAATAAAAACCCGCCATAGTCTGTAGTATGTATTTATACAAAATGTTTTGATTAGATGCTTTCACAGTCAGCAGGAAAGAAAACAAACAGAGCTTCAGCAGATATATCTTCAAAGTTTTGGTTTTCCTTATTTAGTAACATGAACTTTTGAGCCGAGACATGCTTGTTTTACAAATATTTTCTATAATTGTTGGCTTCTTTTTACAGATAACTAGTTTAAGCGACGAAATCAGTAACATGAAAGGAGCCCAGGGAATCGTCAATGAAACTCAGACGGTAACACTTTTATGACTAACAGGCACAGGCCTATTGTTTCCAAGTCTTTTCACTAATTTTTATGACCTAAGTAAGATAGATTTGTTTCATGAACTTCTAGGCAGATTATATTTCATAACATTTGTATATTTTCATCACTGAATTCTCACTTGTTTGATTACTATGTAAATGTGTTCGCTAATATTGTAGTGCATCAGGACTCTAAAGGTTGGTACATTTATAATATAGGAATTATTTGTTCACCGATTTCCTTCCCTTTAATTTCAAGCAAAGAACTCAGTAGAGTTTTGGGATGAACAGATTTTTAACAGAGGGGAAATGGTTATTGATAGTTGTACCGACACAGAACATAGATGATTTAATTTACATGCCATCTAATTTTTGAAAATGTTGAAGTTTGTTTTTGTGTTTCAGGCTAGAGCACAATTTAATCAACTTCAGGAAGATATATATACTGATATAAACAAGGAAATAGATGGTAAGATAGTATTTTCAGAAAATATTTCAATAAGACTGATCACTTTCAAAGTACTTAGTTCTCACTTTTCTGGAACTAGAGATAGCTTGTTTGGTAGACAACCATGCTTCACAGCCTCAGGGTGCGTGGTTCGATGATTCAAGTGATCAGGGCAGTTTATGTTTTTCAGAAAGCTGGTTGTATATTTTCAGAAAATTTGTATCCATCAAAACACACAAGATAATAAAAATGAATGTAAAAAATAAAGATCTTTTGTTATTAGGAAGGTTCATAATTCATTCTTAATGCTTGTATGTGCTAGTCCTGCATGTTTAGGAATTCTACAGCAGTTTGTGAGCTAGTGTGATTTTTTTATTACCATTATTAATGTTTTACTGTCCAAATTTTCAGATGCTGTTAATCGCTCTAAAGCAATAACAGAGCAGGTTTCTGGTCAGCTGAATACAGTTAATCAAACAGTACAGCCCTTTGTAAGTTAAAAATTAAGTTCAAATTTCATTAAAATTCTAGCATTCACACTAGAAGTTTAACTACCTCAACTAAGGTGACAATTTGTTTAACTTTATTGACTTTTATAGACAGTTAAGATAGTAAAATATTTATTTGTACTGAATTGAATGGTACCGGTAATTTGCTGCAGCGCTGTATGGTCATAGACTCAGTTGCACTCTTTGGTCATTTTCTCGATAATATCGTGCAGCTATATGCTCAATAACACTTATAATGCCTCCCATTTTATCACCAACCCCACGTATTGCCAGGATTTTTCTCAAAATGTTTTTCCCTACAATGTGAAACCTGTCAATACCACCAACCCATGCATTATGCCATCCACTAACCATTTCTAAATAATTTGAGGAATAAGTCAGGCATGTGTAATGCAACAATGAATTAAATTGTACAGTTATACACTCAATAACATTGTATTGTAATTACCTGTATTATATTGTACAGTAATACACTGAGTAATACTATATTGTCATTACCTGTATTATATTGTATTGTCATTACCTGTATTATATTGTACAGTAATACACTCAGTAATACTGTATTGTAATTACCTGTATTATATTGTACATTAATACACTCAGTAATACTATATTGTCATTACCTGTATTATATTGTACATTAATACACTCAGTAATACTATATTGTCATTACCTGTATTATATTGTACAGTAATACACTCAGTAATACTATATTGTCATTACCTGTATTATATTGTACATTAATACACTCAGTAATACTATATTGTCATTACCTGTATTATATTGTACATTAATACACTCAGTAATACTATATTGTCATTACCTGTATTATATTGTACAGTAATACACTCTGTAATACTATATTGTAATTACGTGTATTTTATTGTACAGTAATACACTCAGTAATACTGTATTGTAATTACCTGTATTATATTGTACAGTAATGCACTCAGTAACATTGTATTGTCATTTCCTGTATTATATTGTACATTAATACACTCAGTAATACTATATTGTCATTACCTGTATTATATTGTACAGTAGTACACTCAGTAACATTGTATTGTCATTTCCTGTATTATATTGTACATTAATACACTCAGTAATACTGTATTGTCATTACCTGTATTATATTGTACATTAATACACTCAGTAATACTATATTGTAATTATCTGTATTATATTGTACAGTAATGCACTCAGTAATACTGTATTGTAATTACCTGTATTATATTGTACAGTAATACACTCAGTAATACTATATTGTCATTACCTGTATTATATTGTACATTAATACACTCAGTAATACTGTATTGTCATTACCTGTATTATATTGTACATTAATATACTCAGTAATACTATATTGTAATTACCTGTATTATATTGTACATTAATACACTCAGTAATACTGTATTGTAATTACCTGTATTATATTGTACAGTAATACACTCAGTAAAACTGTATTGTCATTACCTGTATTATATTACACAATTAACATTATATGGGCATTTCCTGAATTACATTGTACAGTTATATGCTAAGGAACACTGTATAGTCTTTCTCATATGTATTGTACTGTTATATTTTAAAGAAAAATGCTGATACAAGTGGAATTCAAAGAACAATAAGATTGTAGTGCATGAGATCACAAATAGGCATGATAAGTTTGAAAGGACTCTATTATGAATCGAAACTGCATTCCTGGTTAAATCTAAGGAGATAAAATGAGACAAGAGTTTGTTGGAAGAAAAGCACAATCCATAATACTGTTGTTGACCCAGATAGAGGGGCCTTACCGTGGGAGGAATCTGGAGTACCCAGGGAAAAGTGGTCAGGCAGGTGACCTCATACCTTTTCATGTCCGTTTTGGGAATCAAACCCAGGACACCTCAGTGAAAGACCAATGCCTTACCACTGCACCACCTGACCACCCATTAACCAAGCATTCTGTGTTGTGGTAGTTTTTTTCCTTCGATCAATACTAGTGTTGCATTAAATGATGATAATATTTGGTGGTGATGTGTTATCATTTTGATTGTAGGTGGATTCCATAAGCCAAAATGTAGATCCACAGTTACAAGACCTCGACACCTACCTGAAGGAATATGGTGATTACTTGTGAGTAATGAAACTTTTAAGTACACCATTGAAGACTTATTCAATCTTGTATAAATATACTCCTGTAATGACAGTTGTACTGATGTTTTTTCGCCATTTGTCCTCTTTTCTCAAAGAAATCTATATCATAGTTATCTCCCTGGTTCTCTGTTATAGGCAGACACAATCTGCTTTTTTGATTCTCTAGACTACTTGATTTTGTATGTACATACCTGATACTTCAATATCTCTACCTGTTCTCTGACTTAATTATTGACAGGTGGTATGGTGGTATAGCCATTCCCTGTGTGGTGATCTTGGCAGTCATGTTCTACTACATTGGTATAATGTTTGGTACGTTTGGGGATCGGCCAGGTGTTGGAGCTCAGTGCTGTAACAAAGGAGCAGGCAGTAATCTCCTTGTATGGTACGTAATGTCTTCCATCAATGGTGTGTGTTGATAGGTGGAAGGGAATGGAAGGCACAAGTAATAGAAGAATACATGTGTAGTAGATACTACAGTGGGTAGGTGGTGGTTAACATACAAGTGACAAGCTTGTATGATAGATAGACAGAGGGTAGGTGATAGTGGAGGTAACAGTGACAAGCTTGTATGATAGATAGACAGATGATAGTGGAGGTAAGAGTGACAAGCTTGTATGATAGATAGACAGAGGGTAGGTGATAGTGGAGGTAAGAGTGACAAGCTTGTATGATAGATAGACAGAGGGTAGGTGATAGTGGAGGTAACAGTGACAAGCTTGTATGATAGATAGACAGAGGGTAGGTAATAGTGGAGGTAAGAGTGACAAGCTTGTATGATAGATAGACAGAGGGTAGGTGATAGTGGAGGTAACAGTGACAAGCTTGTATGATAGATAGACAGAGGGTAGGTGATAGTAGATAGACAGAGGGTAGGTGATAGTGGAGGTAAGAGTTACAAGCTTGTATGATAGATAGACAGAGGGTAGGTGATAGTGGAGGTAACAGTGACAAGCTTGTATGATAGATAGACAGAGGGTAGGTGATGGGGGAGGTAACAGTGACAAGCTTGTATGATAGATAGACAGAGGGTAGGTGATAGTGGAGGTAACAGTGATAAGCTTGTATGATAGATAGACAGAGGGTAGGTGATAGTGGAGGTAAGAGTGAGGTATGATAGTGACAAGCTTGTATGATAGATAGACAGAGGGTAGGTGATAGTGGAGGTAACAGTGACAAGCTTGTATGATAGATAGACAGAGGGTAGGTGATAGTGGAGGTAAGAGTTGACAAGCTTGTATGATAGATAGACAGATGATGGTGGAGGGACTTTTATAGATACTTGTATAACAGAATGATAGAGGAACAATATTTACAGGTATTTTGAAATATTTTCTTTAGGTTGGTAATGTGAATAGAAGTTATTATAACACTGCCAGTAGAAAATTTTAATGTGATGTGTTGGTGACTATACAGTCACCTTCATCACAGACAACTACCAATGGTTACAGGTATCAGTAACCTAGTTGGAGTGGCATGTTTTGTTCTAATTTGATTTAATCTTATTCAATATACAGTAATTTCGTTTTCATTAAGTTCTTAAAATAGCCAATTATTTTTATGGAGATGAAATTTTTACTTTTTTGCATTCCATTGATATGATCCTGAAAATTTGATCTGTGAAATAATGAAACATGAATGTATTAGATGTCCTTTGACGTTCAAATTGCCAAATTTTAATTCATTGAAATATTATTCAGTAATGTTTTTAGAAGAAAATCATAAAGATTTTGACATGTGAAAATTACCAGCTGTACAGTACTTAGGTTTTGAACATCTTTGAATGGTTTCTGTTATATAGTAAATAAGCATATTTGATAGCTGCATTACAAAATAAGTCCAAATGTCAAAAGAGATTCAGTGGGATGAATATCTGGTTTAGAGCGGATTCATTGTTTGGCAAGTCTTTTAAAATCCTACTCCTCCTTTAGGAATGGTTGTATTCTGCCCAAATTGAATGAAATCATCTTTGGGTGAAGGGAAATCATGTTTGTATAAGATGTTGATCTCAGCTGGCTGGGCCAGATGGGGTAGGGCCCAATAGGGGGAATAGGAATCAATTTTGTATAACAATTGGGTCTCATCCCCTGGGGTGGATGGAAGTGACAGGAGGGGCAGGGTCCAATAGGGGAAATAGAGCAAATTCTTTAAAATCTTACTCTTCCTGTGGGAATGATTGAATTTTATCCAAAGTTGGTGTGAATCATGTTTTGGTGAAGGAGTAACAATTTTTTATCAATAGTGAATCTCAGCTCCATAGGGCAGCAGGGAAGGGGCTCAGTAGGGATAATGTGTTTGAAAACAGTTTAGATCCCCATCCCATAACCATGAATAGCATTGCTGGACATCAATTGATAAACACAATCATGATGTAAGAATTGGCCCTGAGGTCTGGCCCCATTCCTATGGAATCAGTTTCATGGTAATATCTTTGAAACAGTTGAGATCCCCACCCCTATGCCATATATGGCAATGCTAAGCACCATGACATTAACACCTTTACAATGTAAGGACTGGCCCTTGGGTGTAGCCCCACCCTTCTGGACTTAATTTCTGGGTGGAGTTTTAATATTTTTGAAATACCTAACCTGTAGGCATGTATAATAACATTTCTGGGCTTCAGGTGAATGATACATGCCATATGGGGTTCCTGTTTAATTTTCAGGAACAAATATTACATCTTAGCTAGCAGTAGCCGGTTTATATACAAAGTGATTTTACTTTTCAATAACATATTTCAGTGGTGTGGTGTGGTCATTCCTGTTTGCCTCCATCCTTATGTTGGTCGTACTGATAATGTTTCTGGTGGGAGGAGGTATTTATGGTATCATGTGTCGTGAACTCAACAAGGGTGTGGAAAATGTCCAGGTAATGTATTTCTAGGTGTTGCAAATCATTAAGGCATGGAAAATATCAGAATACGGTATTAACTCTGCTGTAAGACTAAAGACCTAACAGGCAATCTTCAAAGTAAAGATCTATTTGTCTTGTCACATGACAGTGATGTAGCATATGCTGGAATACTAAAACTGTAAAAGATATAGGGGTCGTTTAACCAGACTTGGATTTATTAATATATGATATAGTATAATTTCTACCTCGTGGATTAAGGCATGTAATCAGGTGATTTTTGTCTAATTCTACTAAGAGTTACCATCGTGATATTGTACCATAGATACATGTACAGCATGGTTGAAACATAAAGACATTATTACACTGCTTATACAAATAAAAAAAAAAGATAATGGAAATGAGAATTCATGTTTGCACTTTTTAAAGATGTTTTCATTTTTAGTCGGATTTTGATTTTGATATGTTTTAAATATGAATAATTTTACTGTTGTTACCTCCCCTTACCTATTGAATGCCAGTACTATGACTACAAATTATCTTTACATGGCTTACCTGTAACCTCATGACCATTATTGCATGTTAAGTATCTGTTTTATATCATTACATGACCTTGACATTGGTGTTCACTTTCGTTACCTAATTTTTGTGTAGGTGTTTACATTTTCAAACTTACTTGTTGTGTTACCCTTTGATATATCATTTAATCATTTTTAACTTTCATTTTCTTAAACTTTGAGTTCTGTGACCTAATGACCTTTGCTTATGCCATAGCTTTATGAACCAGTGGTGGATGAGGTTTTAAATATACAGATCAGCAAGCTTCTGTATGACAACAATGCCCCAGCCAATCTCACCTTGGGAGGAATCCTTGAGTAAGTTAATAGGACAAGGTGTGTCAGTCCGTGAGTAAGTTAACAGGACATGGTGTGTCAGTTAACTAGGGAGTCCTTGAGTAAGTTAATAGGACAAGGTGTGTTAGTTAACTAGGGAGTCCTTGATTAAGTTAACAGGACATGGTGTGTCAGTTAACTAGGGAGTCCTTGAATAAGTTAACAGGACATGGTGTGTCAGTTAACTAGGGAGTCCTTGATTAAGTTAACAGGACATGGTGTGTCAGTTAACTAGGGAGTCCTTGAATAAGTTAACAGGACATGGTGTGTCAGTTAACTAGGGAGTCCTTGATTAAGTTAACAGGACATGGTGTGTCAGTTAACTAGGGAGTCCTTGAATAAGTTAACAGGACATGGTGTCTCAGTTAACTAGGGAGTCCTTGAATAAGTTAACAGGACAAGTTTAGGGAGTCCTTGAATAACAGGACATGGTGTGTCAGTTAACTAGGGAGTCCTTGAATAAGTTAACAGGACATGGTGTGTCAGTTAACTAGGGAGTCCTTGAATAAGTTAACAGGACATGGTGTGTCAGTTAACTAGGGAGTCCTTGAATAAGTTAACAGGACATGGTGTGTCAGTTAACTAGGGAGTCCTTGATTAAGTTAACAGGACATGGTGTCTCAGTTAACTAGGGAGTCCTTGAATAAGTTAACAGGACATGGTGTGTCAGTTAACTAGGGAGTCCTTGAGTAAGTTAATAGGACAAGGTGTGTTAGTTAACTAGGGAGTCCTTGATTAAGTTAACAGGACATGGTGTGTCAGTTAACTAGGGAGTCCTTGAATAAGTTAACAGGACATGGTGTGTCAGTTAACTAGGGAGTCCTTGATTAAGTTAAGTTAACAGGACATAAGTTAACAGGTGTGTCTCAGTTAACTAGGGAGTCCTTGATTAAGTTAACAGGACATGGTGTGTCAGTTAACTAGGGAGTCCTTGAATAAGTTAACAGGACATGGTGTGTCAGTTAACTAGGGAGTCCTTGAATAAGTTAACAGGACATGGTGTGTCAGTTAACTAGGGAGTCCTTGATTAAGTTAACAGGACATGGTGTGTCAGTTAACTAGGGAGTCCTTGAATAAGTTAACAGGACATGGTGTCTCAGTTAACTAGGGAGTCCTTGAATAAGTTAACAGGACATGGTGTGTCAGTTAACTAGGGAGTCCTTGAATAAGTTAACAGGACATGGTGTGTCAGTTAACTAGGGAGTCCTTGAATAAGTTAACAGGACATGGTGTGTCAGTTAACTAGGGAGTCCTTGAATAAGTTAACAGGACATGGTGTGTCAGTTAACTAGGGAGTCCTTGATTAAGTTAACAGGACATGGTGTCTCAGTTAACTAGGGAGTCCTTGAATAAGTTAACAGGACATGGTGTGTCAGTTAACTAGGGAGTCCTTGAATAAGTTAACAGGACATGGCGTGTCTGTTCATTAGGGAATTCAGTGAAATGTATCTCTATGTATTTGTCATTTCTTTACAATGTATTCTGGAGAAAGATGTCATGATATGCAAGGTTTTTTTTTGAGATTTTGAAATTTCTGTATTTAGTTCCACTGGCTCTCTGTGTATAGTGAACTATTGATATATATATATATATATATTTAAATATCTTATGCCAGTTAAATAGATGAACACAATGTAAATTCTCAGAGATACATTAGTTTTTCTGTACAGTTTTTCTATTTATAGACTTTTAATACTGGGATCATTGGGGAAAAGTAATTAAAAAAAATCATGTGTAAATTGTTTGGTTAAAGAGTCAAACAATTATATTAAGTATTCAGTTGTAAAAAGATATAATTAGCTTTACAATCAGCATGATTCTTACCTCTGATTCCATGGGCTATTTCAGTGACTGTAAGAACAACAAGGCCCTGTACACAGCTGTCAAACTGAAGCACCTGTTTGATTTGGATGCCCTGCTCAACACCACAGTAAGTATACAACAATTTGTCAGATATCCTTCTCTGAAGTCTCATTTAAGATTTATAGAAAAGGCTATTTCAACATTAAGATGGAGATTACCTGGATTTGATGCAATAAATAAATGGAATATCCTGTAATTTTGTTTGGGTTTGTTTTCCAGGAAGTTACTGCAGAGATTGACAAGGTGATGGAAAATACACTACCAAACATTGGTAACATCAGTATAATTCCAACAGATTTAAAGAATAAACTTAACGAATTCTCAAACTCAGGTGTGGCTAGTATCAACTTTACACAGTACACAACTCAGGTGAGCTATGAAAGTGACCCAGATCAATGCTCTGTATGCATATATTGGCTCTATTCATTAAAGCAAATACACACGATGTAAGTACATATCTACACAGTGGTTCATTATAACAGTGTAATTACAGACCATACTGGGCTCTATTATAACATTGTAATTACAGATGTAATTACAGACAGTACTGGTGTCCATTATAACAATGTAATTACAGACTGTACTGGGGTCCATTATAACAGTGTAATTACAGACTGTACTGGGGTCCATTATAACGATGAATTACAGACTGTACTCGGGTCCATTATAACAATGTAATTACAGACTGTACTGGGGTCCATTATAACAGTGTAATTACAGGCAGTACTGAGGTCCATTATAACATTGTAATTACAGACAGTGCTGGGGTCCATTATAACAATGTAATTACAGACTGTACTGGGGTCCATTATAACAGTGTAATTACAGACTGTACTGGGGTCCATTATAACATTGTAATTACAGACAGTGCTGGGGTCCATTATAACAGTGTAATTACAGACTGTACTGGGGTCCATTATAACGATGAATTACAGACTGTACTGGGGTCCATTATAACAGTGTAATTACAGACCGTACTGGGCTCTATTATAACATTGTAATTACAGATGTAATTACAGACAGTACTGGGGTCCGTTATAACAATGTAATTACAGACTACTTGGGTCCCTTATAACAGTGTAATTACAGACAGTACTGAGGTCCATTATAACATTGTAATTACAGACAGTACTGGGGTCCGTTATAACAATGTAATTACAGACTGTACTGGGGTCCATTATAACAATGTAATTACAGACTGTACTGGGGTCCATTATAACAATGTAATTACAGACTGTACCGGGCTCTATTATAACATTGTAATTACAGACTGTACTGGGGTCCATTATAACAGTGTATTGCAGACTGTACTGGGGTCCATTATATCAATGTAATTACAGACTGTACTGGGGTCCATTATAACAGTGTAATTACAGACCGTACTGGGCTCTATTATAACATTGTAATTACAAATGTAATTACAGACTGTACTGGGGTCCATTATAACAGTGTAATTACAGACCGTATTGGGCTCTATTATAACATTGTAATTACAGATGTAATTACAGACAATACTGGGGTCCATTATAACAGTGTAATTACAGACTGTACTGGGGTCCATTATAACGATGAATTACAGACTGTACTGGGGTCCATTATAACAGTGTAATTACAGACCGTACTGGGCTCTATTATAACATTGTAATTACAGATGTAATTACAGACAGTACTGGGGTCCATTATAACAATGTAATTACAGACTACTGGGGTCCATTATAACAGTGTAATTACAGACCGTATTGGGCTCTATTATAACATTGTAATTACAGATGTAATTACAGACTGTACTGGGGTCCATTATAACAATGTAATTACAGACTGTACTGGGGTCCATTATAACAGTGTAATTACAGACCGTACTGGGCTCTATTATAACTGGTACTGAGGTCCATTATAACATTGTAATTACAGATGTAATTACAGACAGTACTGGGGTCCATTATAACAATGTAATTACAGACTACTGGGGTCCATTATAACAGTGTAATTACAGACAGTACTGAGGTCCATTATAACATTGTAATTACAGATGTAATTACAGACAGTACTGGGGTCCATTATAACAGTGTAATTACATACCGTACTGGGCTCTATTATAACATTGTAATTACAGATGTAATTACAGACTGCACTGGGGTCCATTATAATAATGTAATTACAGACAGTACTGGGGTCCATTATAACGATGAATTACAGACTGTACTGGGGTCCATTATAATGATGTAATTACAGATTGTACTGGGGTCCATTATAACAGTGTAATTATAGACTCTACTGGGGTCCATTATAACATTCCAATTACAGACTGTGCTTGTCCATTATAACAATGTAATTACAGACAGTACTGGGGTCTATTATAATGATGAATTACAGACTGTACTGGGCTCTATTATAACATTGTAATTACAGACTGTACTGGGCTCTATTATAACGATGAATTATAGACTGTACTGGGGTCCATTATAATGATGTAATTACAGATTGTACTGGGCTCCATTATAACGATGTAATTACAGAGAGTACTGGGGTCCGTTATAACGATGTAATTACAGACAGTACTGGGGTCCATTTTAACAATGTAATTACAGACTGTCCTGAGGTCCATTATAACAATGTATTTACAGACAGTGCTGTGGTCATCATAACCAGATATGTTTATATTGTATCATTATAACAATATTCTATGTTCTGTTTCTAATTTCCTTACATTACAGCTGGACAAACAAATCCTTACATCACCTCTTAGTGAAGCAATTACTGATCTTAATCATGCAGCAGCAGCCACAGATCCAACTGTAAGTATGTAATGGTTTGGACCTACTGGTATAAGCCTGGTACAAGCCTGGTACAAGGATGATAACAGTATTTGGTGTAACATTTATATCAACAGCAGCATATATGTGATTTGTTTTATTTGCTTACAACAGTGATAGTAGGTTTACTTAGGTTTATGAATTCTTTATTTATAAACTAAATCTAATGAAAAAATATTCATCCAAGACAGTGTTTGTTTATTTTTTTTTAAGTAGAAAGAATAGTTGCAGATTAGAAATCTGTCCAAATGGATTTTTTCTGCTGATTTTAGTCATATGATAATGATATGTCATTAGTTTTCTTTTGTCATGTTCAGAATACCGCTGCATCAGAAAGCCTAAGGAACCAGTCTGTTATCTTACAGAACTTAGAAAATGAGGAAATAGCAAATATGAGTCAACAGTTTGTAAGTACAAATGTAGTATGCTACAGTTCACGAAAATCATCTGATGGACAAAAAATGAAAGATATCCAATTTGATGATTTTTTTTATTGATATACAACTACAAAAAAAACCCTGTGTTAAAAGAGGTTAAGATGTCAGGCAGGACCATATGTCAGAAGTGTTAAGATGATAAACTGATTCATGGATAGACTCAAGTTTTGAGCAGGCTTATGTGAGGAAATGCTTCATTTGTTAGACAGGTTCACACATTGTCCAAAAAAATCAGAGATTGTTTAATTGTCCCTGTAGTTTCTTGTTATTTGTTAAATTGTGTCTGGTATTGTGTAGATAGTATATATCGTTGTCTGGTTAACATAGGGGTCTGAATATTGGTCAGATTGTATTTATTGTCAATATAAATGTAATAATGATAGCAGGTAAATAGAATGATGTCTGTGAGGATGTTTATTTATCTGGCACCAAGGTTACATACATGGTGACAATAAATACAATCCGACAGATGTGCAATAGTTATATTTGCATTTTGGATACATTTCAAACATAATTTTTTTTTTCTGATTAAAATTGTACAGACACAGGTAAATACTTCCCTTTAGTCCTATTCCTCATACAGACACAGGTAAATACTTCCCTTTAGTCCTAGACCTCACACAGACACAGGTAAATACTTCCCTTTAGTCCTAGTCCTCATACAGACACAGGTAAATACTTCCCTTTAGTCTCATTCCTCATACAGACACAGGTAAATACTTCCCTTTAGTCTCATTCCTCATACAGACACAGGTAAATACTTCCCTTTAGTCCTATTCCTCATACAGACACAGGTAAATACTTCCCTTTAGTCCTATTCCTCATACAGACACAGGTATATACTTCCCTTTAGTCCTAGTCCTATTCCTCATACAGACACAGGTAAATACTTCCCTTTAGTCCTATTCCTCATACAGACACAGGTAAATACTTCCCTTTAGTCCTAGTCCTCATACAGACACAGGTAAATACTTCCCTTTAGTCCTATTCCTCATACAGACACAGGTAAATACTTCCCTTTAGTCTCATTCCTCATACAGACACAGGTAAATACTTCCCTTTAGTCCTATTCCTCATACAGACACAGGTAAATACTTCCCTTTAGTCCTATTCCTCATACAGACACAGGTAAATACTTCCCTTTAGTCCTACAGACACATCATTCCTCATACAGACACAGGTAAATACTTCCCTTTAGTCCTAGTCCTCATACAGACACAGGTAAATACTTCCCTTTAGTCCTATTCCTCATACAGACACAGGTAAATACTTCCCTTTAGTCCTAGTCCTCATACAGACACAGGTAAATACTTCCCTTTAGTCCTATTCCTCATACAGACACAGGTAAATACTTCCCTTTAGTCCTATTCCTCATACAGACACAGGTAAATACTTCCCTTTAGTCCTATTCCTCATACAGACACAGGTAAATACTTCCCTTTAGTCCTATTCCTCATACAGACACAGGTAAATACTTCCCTTTAGTCCTATTCCTCATACAGACACAGGTAAATACTTCCCTTTAGTCCTATTCCTCATACAGACACAGGTAAATACTTCCCTTTAGTCCTAGTCCTCATACAGACACAGGTAAATACTTCCCTTTAGTCTCATTCCTCATACAGACACAGGTAAATACTTCCCTTTAGTCCTATTCCTCATACAGACACAGGTAAATACTTCCCTTTAGTCCTATTCCTCATACAGACACAGGTAAATACTTCCCTTTAGTCCTATTCCTCATACAGACACAGGTAAATACTTCCCTTTCCTCATACAGACACAGGTAAATACTTCCCTTTAGTCCTATTCCTCATACAGACACAGGTAAATACTTCCCTTTAGTCCTATTCCTCATACAGACACAGGTAAATACTTCCCTTTAGTCCTAGTCCTCATACAGACACAGGTAAATACTTCCCTTTAGTCCTAGTCCTCATACAGACACAGGTAAATACTTCCCTTTAGTCCTATTCCTCATACAGACACAGGTAAATACTTCCCTTTAGTCCTATTCCTCATACAGACACAGGTAAATACTTCCCTTTAGTCTCATTCCTCATACAGACACAGGTAAATACTTCCCTTTAGTCCTATTCCTCATACAGACACAGGTAAATAGTTCCCTTTAGTCCTAGTCCTCATACAGACACAGGTAAATACTTCCCTTTAGTCTCAGAATGAAAATTCCTCATACACAGACACAGTCAGTACTCAGGACTACAGTTAAATCGCCCTGCTGTCCGTGGTCCGTCGTCCTTCTGTCCGTCCGTCCGTAAACAATTCTTGTTACCGCTATTTCTGGAAAAGTACTGGATGGATCTTTCTCAAGTTTCATATGCAGGTTCCCCTTGGTCCCTAGTTGTGCATTGTACCTTTTTTGAACTGATTCGCATTCAAGAAGGCCGACAGGTGGTCATCTTGGATTTTGGAATTAAAAGTTTGTTATTGCTATTTCTGGAAAAGTACTGGATGGATCTTTCTCAAATTTCATATGCAGGTTCCCCTTGGTCCCTAGTTGTGCATTGTACCTTTTTTGAACTGATTCGAATTCAAGATGGCCGACAGGTGGCCATCTTGGATTTTGAATGTAAAAGTTACTGCTATTTCTTGGAAAGTACTGGATGGATCTGTCTCAAATTTCATATGCAGGTTCCCTTTGGTTCCAAGTTGTGCATTATACCTTTTTGGACTGATCCGAAATCAAGATGGCTGACAGGCAGCCATCTTGGATTTTGAGAGTAATATCTTGTTACTGCTATATCTGAGGAAGTACTGGATGGATCCTTCTGATATTTCATAGATATTGGTTTCCCTTGGTCCCTAGTTGTGCATTGTACCTTTTTTGGACTGATTTGAAATCAAAGTGGCCCACAGGCAGCCATCTTGGATGTCGACAGTAATACAGCACAAGCATATTGTCCATTATCCACCTGTAACTGACTGCTATCAAATAATACTTTGGGATCTTTTTCAAATGATATTTGCTAATAGGTGCTTAATAAAAATATCATGTGCCATCATTGAGTACACTCAATGAAGACCAGTTCATGAACATTTACAACACCTGTAACAAACAAAAAAAAATAAACAAATCTTCAAGAACTGAAAACAGATCCTCATATGGTGGGCGCCAAGATCCCTTTGGGATCTCTTGTATAATTTTCATATTGATCAAATGATGTCTATATTTTCTGAACAAAAATTCCTGGAATCAAATGAACATTAACTTTATCTTCATGCATTTTAATAAAAAAAAAATTACAAAAATGAGTCTTAATAGATACAACATGCTGTGTGACAGACATACACCAAATACTTTCCGTTTGACAAATTTTATTGTTGTAATGGCCCCGTGTTTCAATTCATTTGATGCTGAATTCAGTAATGTTTCTAATATGGTTATAAAAATAATTTATTGACTTTCAGACATTACAGCAGGTGACCAGAAATATATCATCATATGTTCAGCTTGAGATAGATGGAGTAAAGAATCAGGTAAACATGGGATGAAATAGACAGAGTAAAGACAGAGTGAGATAGACAGAGAGATAGACTGAGTAAAGACAGAGTGAGATAGACAGAGAGATAGACTGAGTAAAGACAGAGTGAGATAGACAGAGAGATAGACTGAGTAAAGACAGAGTGAGATAGACAGAGAGATAGACTGAGTAAAGACAGAGTGAGATAGACAGAGAGATGGACTGAGTAAAGAGTGAGAAAGGCAAAGTAAAGTCAGAGTGAGATAGACAGTAAAGACAGAGTGAGAAAGACACAGTAAAGACAGAGTGAGATAGACAGAATATAGTTAAAGTGAGATAAAATAACAAACAAGGCAAGTAAGAATAAGATAATCACAAAGTAAACACTTGTTTATTTTAACACATCAATAATCTCTATAGAAATCATTTTTTGTTTCTTATTTGCATAAAGCTTCATAAATGTTTTGGAATTATGATGAAATGAGATGTAGTGTAATTATTTTATTTTTCTACAGATAAAGAACAACATTGGAAAGTGCCAGCCACTTTATGCTGCCACTCAAACGGCTTCAGATGCCTTCTGTCTCATCACTCTCGACCCATTTGTAAGTCCATAATAGTTTGCTCTCTAATTTAGGGTTATATATAATACAGAAAAGAGAGTTAAGAAATATAGGGGGACAGATTTTATGTGTGGTTACCATATAAATAGCCCAAGTTTGCTTTGGATCTTACACCAGACATTAGATATTTTGAATGGCAGAAGAACTGAGAAGGGGAGTAACTCTGTTTGGATTTCATTGTCTGATCATTATAAAGAAGGAAGACAGACAACTGCTTTAGTTACCGGTATTGGTAATATCAAATGTCTGGATATGGGAATTTTCCAAAAATAAAAGACCCAAAAAAAACGAAAGAAAAAAAATGGAGGAAGTGGTGAGGGGGGGGGGGGTTCTTGAAAACAGTTATTGGGACATCTGATTTTGACTTGAGTTTGTGCTATACTAATATAATTTTTTTTTGTTACAGAATGGTTTCTGGTTTGGTCTGGGCTGGGGTCTATCAGCATTCATCTTCTGTATGGTTTTTGCACTGTGTCTGGCCAGTCTCTACCAACGGGAGGAACCCTATGATAAGTTGTTGGATATGAGTAGGAAAAAGGCCAGGCAAACTCAGCAGCTGGACAGTCCGTAAGTCTTTATCCTTCATGTCTGCATTACCAGCAGTTGTAATGCTTTCAGTGGAAGTCTTGCCCTGTGTTAGCTGTCTTACCTCTGACTAGGTTTGTTGTAAAAAATAATTCAGTATTCAGTGAAGGTCTGAGGTCTCGACATTCCCAGTAATATTTGCGAAAAAATTCAGTATTAAGTTAAGGTCTGAGGTCAGGACATTCTCACTGATGACTCAATATTTGATTTAGTTCTAAGGTCTGGATACACTCTGTAAACTATAGAATATGATTTTTAGAATCCTCAGACGCATGAGAGAAATATTTCCTAATTTGTTAGAAACAATTTCTGTCGATATGAGATTAAACATGTAAAGTGTGTGTCATCATTCTGAAATAGAAATATGGAATCAGTCAAGGGTAATTGGTATAGAGCATCATTGGACCAAAGAAATTAGGTATGATAGAAGTTACCACAGACCATAGCAGTAGAAATGTATTCAAATTTAAGGAAATTTTGAACTCCTATATGTTAGTCTTCGTTATATTTCTAAGGTTAGAGGCCTAATAAAAGACAGCAGAAGATTATTTCTACACTAAATTGCTGTCTCATCTCATTTGTTGGTTTTTTTTCTTTGATTGACGTTTTATGGCTACCAGATGTTAGTTAGCAATTCTAATGTTAGCTCTACCTCATCACCTGACATGTAATTTACAGAAGTGGGAAGATTTTCTCCACCAAATAGATATGAATATTAATCTTTGATGATTTTTCAGTGACATGGAGATGTACCAAGGTCAGACTGGTTACAATGCCTACAGTCACCAAGACAACGTGCCATTGACCAGGTGTGTATACAGCTTTACTGCACTGCTAGCATTTATAAACAGTTAAGCCTTACTAAAATATCTCACAAACTACTTACATTAATTTGTAATTCTGCATTACCTCTTATTATAAGTATGTTTGCCATTTGTTTATTGAGGTATTAGACTTAAATAAAGTAATTTTTTGTGTTATTGTGTTTAGCTTGACTTTTAAACTCAACATGTATTCTGTATTTATTATGCATTAAAGCTCAAGCATCCAGTAATCGTATATTTCATAGTTACATTTTGTACTTTAAAATCGCTATCATATTTCATAGTTACATTTTGTACTTTAAAATCGCTATCATATTTCATAGTTACATTTTGTACTTTAAAATCGCTACTTTAGAATGCTAAATTAAGCAATCAATTAGAACTATGCGTAGCTAGCTAAATAGTTGCTGAGTTCATCAGCTACATGATTGTGGGGATTTTAGCAGCAATAATTTCTAGTTACTTAATTCATTAGCGACTTGTTTAGTTCATCTATGAATTTTCAAAGTTTAAGTCAGCTTTGTATTTTTTATGCACAGCTCTTAGCTGCTAAGCACAGCTACAACTTTCTATCTTAAGGTTAGGCTAGTTCCAAGTTCATCTATGAGTTGCTAAGTTCAGTGCTAAGTGTAAAGTTCAGCTTTGCAAAGTTAAGTACAGATTTTTTTCAATCTTGAGTAAAATGCTGTTTATGTAACCAAGGGGAACACTGGTGTGCTGCTTATCCAACAAAGTCAATAGGGTCTGTTGGACTAGTAGAGTTTGTCACTTGGGAGATCTTTTTTTTTTTTTATGAATAATACTTCTAATTATTAAAATGTTGTTAATAAACTTAAAGACAGTGTCTGGTTAATCATGTAGTATTCCATATCAAGAAATTAGTAATAATACTGTAGAATAAAAGTCCTTAGAACACAAGTAGAACATTGGAGTGTGATGTTTCAATGACTACATGGTCATCTTCATCAGACAAATGACCAGTGTGGAGTGTACTCACGTAAAGAAAATGATAATGATGTCACCAAAACAACAACATGCATGTTTATTTATAGATTTAAAGTAATGTCAAGAATTGGTTCATAAACTTTCATCCAAAGTGTGTTTAAATTGATATTTTTCTACCATTCTGTGACTTATCAATCAAGTGAAACATGGTTTCTTAATATAACACTCTAACATGTACTGTGATTAATGTCTTGTAGATCGATATAATTTTAAGGCAGTCTTTAATCCATCACTTGTTTGCAATCATTTAAGAAAGTAATGTCGCATGATCTTTACTAGAAATTATAAATCTATTTCCAAAAGATAAGACATTTATGAAATGATGATATGAAGAGGATAAATACTTTGACGGACTTCCTGACAAACTGTATTTTGTTCTGTTTAATGATCGCTGTAATGTGTCAATGTTTCTCAAAGTAATGGAAATTACAGTTCAGCATGTCTGGGAAATTATATATAAACACAGATTGTTGAGTAGTGGGTATCAATCCTTCACTTGTTCGTTTGTCTTGTCAGCATGGAGGCAGGTTATCAAAAAGGTGGGAGAAGCAGGGGCGTGCCAAACGCAGCCTACGACAATGGGCAGCACCAGGATCCTTACTTACGTTATGGTGAGGGTGGTTATGACTATAATGGTTCCGATCGCCCCCCCTCATACCACGAAAGTGGCAAATACCCACAACATCCTATGCATGGTGGCTATCCAGTGTTGCCACAGCAGCAAAAGTATTACTAATGCCACACAGTAAGTAGATTGCTAACATGGTGCTGGTCATACTTGTGGTACCCATGTCTTCTTCCATGATGGATTCTGATCAAACAAATAATTCTAGAAATGGATGGAAAATCAAAAAAGTAATGTCTATCAGGCATCGGATGGAAAAGATCTGGATTTTAACGATTTCAAGTTCCCGACAAATGCCTAAAGAAAATAAAAAGAATGAGATATGGGAGAAGACTGAGGTTCCATAGTGTGTTGTAACCAATTATTAGCTGGAATTGACTGCAAGTCATTTTCTATGCATGTTATCCAGAGCAGAATATTTGGATCTGAATTTGAGAAATGTATGCAATGCATATCAGTCAGAAATTTTGTATGGAATCTTAAAATTCTGAAACAGATTATCATCATGTGTTAAAATGTAACAGGTAAATATAGATAAAACACAATGAAAATGACTTACAGTATTATTATATAATTCGTTGTTCTTTCAATATGTTAAATAATATTTTTTCTGGGATATTGTCTTATATCTACTGTAATTTATGTTGTGTGATATCAAATTTTTAAAATTTACAAATAACTATAAAAATATAATAATATAAAGCTAGAACATCAATATTCCAATATTCAGGTACATGTAGCTAGTGCTAGTCATGATGCTAGAAGTCTGAAATTTGTTGTTCATTAAATCATTGTTAATGTATCTCTGTTGTGATATTTTTACATGTATATAAATACCTTTTATATACACTGAAAGGATAAAGAAATGCAAATTTTCTAATATTAGAATACTTTGTATGGAATATAAAAAGCCACATTAAAAGTAAGAGGAATAGTAGGGCACTTTATAAATGTTAAAATTCTGCCATCCATGGCCAAAAAACTTATCCAGATCTGTTGCACCTAAATTACCAATGACTGTACAAATGTATGCCTTCTCCTTCACTCAAACTTGTGTTGATTTCTGACTATCATTAAGATGCCTAATTGCAAATACATTGACAAATATGCCACAGCTATCCCAACAGGATGGGCTTTCACAATGCTGTTGGGAGATAGCACTTAACAGCATGTCGCTGCTCATCTCAGAGTACACAAATCCACCATAAGTCGGTTAGCTATGGGAAGAGTTGATGACAGATGGGACAAAATAGCATTGGTAACAGAAACTATCGAATCCACCCAAAAACTGAGAGGAATAGACTGTAAGAGGCATATAATGGCCAAAGAATGGCCAGTATGTTGGTTTACAACTGACACCTCATTGCTGAGCACATCGTATGCTATTGTTTACGGCTCTTCCTGATCCACGTTTTTTCGATGTCAGTTAACATTTGTACCGGTGTTGAGGAGTGGGTCTTGCAGACACATGTAATTTAGAGCACAACAGATTTGGGAATGGTTTGATTATGGTTTTTGGAGGAATTTTTCATTTTTTTTAAAGACACCTATAGAGATCTTTAACAGGAATTTAAGGCTCTAGGCTATTGAGATAGGATCCTGATGCCTCATGTTGTGCCTTTCATTATAAGGCACCATTTGACATTTCAGCATGATAATGCGAGGCCAAATATTGAAAGAGTTTGTAGGGACTTTCCCCCAACCCAGAATATTGCCCTTATTGATTGGCCTCTGTATAGCCCTGATTTGTCCCCAATCCAACACTTGTGGGATGAATTAGACAGAAGAGTTCAGGATCCAGCAAACATCTGAAACAACCTCTGCCAATGTGCTAACACACTTACTGAGGAATGGCATAACATTCCTCTATGGACAATCAATGTCCCTATGAAGTTAATGCTATGCAGAAGTAGAGATGCTATAGATGTTTGGGGATGGCAAACATGATATTAAGGATCGGTCTGACAACTGTTGTTATTTGCACTTTTTGAACATTAGGGTACCTTAATCATGGCAGCCAAATGGAAGTCCTCATTAGTTCAAAATCTCAGCCAATTTGAAGACAGATGATTCAATATTCAATGTTAACTATTGCATTTCACATTTAGGAATATTGCTTATAAAACTGTTTTGTTAAATCGTAAAGTTTTTCCTTTATATTTATGGGTTTGTGTGTATTTGTGTGATGTTGCAGATAGATAGGAAAATTGTACTAGATATAGAGCAAGAATAAGTTTCCTGGGGTTTTTTTGGATGAAATGCTAGAATTTATTTCATATAAAGACCTTGATTTACTTTAAGGGCTATAGGAATAAAGTTTTTTAAAAGATAAAAATTTGATCTGTATGCCTAGTGTATTGAGGAGTAATGTGTGTACAAACTTTACAGAGTTATCAAAGGTCAAATTTGATTCAGGTCCAACATTGATATGTTGAAAGAAAACATTCTTGTCATGTGAGAAGTGGCAGAGAGATTTGATGTTTGATGAATTATTGTCATTACATACTTACCAGTATATAATGCTAAAGTTTATATATAACAAACAATAGATAATGTCTAGATTTTGTCTCCTGACCTATATATGTTTATAGCTCTGGAGATGCTAGATTTGGTCTCCTGACCTACATATGTTTATATCTGAGATGCTAGATTTGGACCCTGACCTTTATATTTATAGTTCTGGAGATGCTAGATTTGGACCCTGACCTATATATGTTTATAGCTCTGGAGATGCTAGATTTGGTCTCCTGACCTATATATGTTTATATCTGAGATGCTAGATTTGGTCTCCTGGAGATGCTAGATTTGGTCTCCTGACCTATATATGTTTATATCTGAGATGCTAGATTTGGTCTCCTGACCTATATATGTTTATAGCTCTGGAGATGCTAGATTTGGTCTCCTGACCTATATATGTTTATAGCTCTGGAGATGCTAGATTTGGTCTCCTGACCTATATATGTTAATAGCTCTGGAGATGCTAGATTTGGTCTCCTGACCTATATATGTTTATCGCTCTGGAGATGCTAGATTTGGTCTCCTGACCTATATATGTTTATCGCTCTGGAGATGCTAGATTTGGTCTCCTGACCTACATATGTTTATAGCTCTGGAGATGCTAGATTTGGACCCTGACCTATGTATTTTTATATCTGAGATGCTAGATTTGGTCTCCTGACCTATATATGTTTATAGCTCTGGAGATGCTAGATTTGGTCTCCTGACCTATATATGTTTATAGCTCTGGAGATGCTAGATTTGGTCTCCTGACCTATATATGTTTATATCTGAGATGCTAGATTTGGACCCTGACCTTTATATTTATAGCTCTGGAGATGCTAGATTTGGTCTCCTGACCTACATATGTTTATAGCTCTGGAGATGCTAGATTTGGTCTCCTGACCTATATATGTTTATATCTGAGATGCTAGATTTGGTCTCCTGACCTATGTATTTATAGTTCTGGAGATGCTAGATTTGGTCTCATGACCTATATATGTTTATAGCTCTGGAGATGCTAGATTTTGTCTCCTGACCTATATATGTTTATATCTGAGATGCTAGATTTTGTCTCCTGACCTATATATGTTTATATCTGAGATGCTAGATTTGGACCCTGACCTTTATATTTATAGCTCTGGAGATGCTAGATTTGGTCTCCTGACCTACATATGTTTATAGCTCTGGAGATGCTAGATTTGGTCTCCTGACCTATATATGTTTATATCTGAGATGCTAGATTTGGTCTCCTGACCTATGTATTTATAGTTCTGGAGATGCTAGATTTGGACTATATATGTTTATATCTGAGATGCTAGATTTGGACCCTGACCTATATATATTTATAGCTCTGGAGATGCTAGATTTGGTCTCCTGACCTATATATGTTTATAGCTCTGGAGATGCTAGATTTGGTCTCCTGACCTACATATGTTTATAGCTCTGGAGATGCTAGATTTGGTCTCCTGACCTATATATGTTTATATCTGAGATGCTAGATTTGGTCTCCTGACCTATGTATTTATAGTTCTGGAGATGCTAGATTTGGTCTCATGACCTATATATGTTTATAGCTCTGGAGATGCTAGATTTGGTCTCCTGACCTATATATGTTTATCGCTCTGGAGATGCTAGATTTGGACCCTGACCTATATATTTATAGCTCTGGAGATGCTAGATTTTGTCTCCTGACCTATATATGTTTATATCTGAGATGCTAGATTTGGTCTCCTGACCTATGTATTTATAGTTCTGGAGATGCTAGATTTGGACCCTGACCTACATATGTTTATAGCTCTGGAGATGCTAGATTTGGTCTCCTGACCTATATATGTTTATATCTGAGATGCTAGATTTGGTCTCCTGACCTATGTATTTATAGTTCTGGAGATGCTAGATTTGGTCTCATGACCTATATATGTTTATAGCTCTGGAGATGCTAGATTTGGTCTCCTGACCTATATATGTTTATCGCTCTGGAGATGCTAGATTTGGTCTCCTGACCTATATATGTTTATAGCTCTGGAGATGCTAGATTTGGACCCTGACCTATATATATTTATAGCTCTGGAGATGCTAGATTTGGTCTCCTGACCTATATATGTTTATAGCTCTGGAGATGCTAGATTTGGTCTCCTGACCTATATATGTTTATAGCTCTGGAGATGCTAGATTTGGTCTCCTGACCTATATATGTTTATAGCTCTGGAGATGCTAGATTTGGTCTCCTGACCTATATATGTTTATCACTCTGGAGATGCTAGATTTGGTCTCCTGACCTATATATGTTTATAGCTCTGGAGATGCTAGATTTGGTCTCCTGACCTACATATGTTTATAGCTCTGGAGATGCTAGATTTGGTCTCCAGGCTTGTATAGGTATATATGTCTGAAATTGCTGTATTTGATCTCATGGCCTTTATACAGTATGTATATATCTGGAGATGCTAGATTTGGTCTCCTGACCTATATATGTTTATAGCTCTGGAGATGCTAGATTTGGTCTCCTGACCTATATATGTTTATAGCTCTGGAGATGCTAGATTTGGTCTCCTGACCTATATATGTTTATCGCTCTGGAGATGCTAGATTTGGTCTCCTGACCTATATAT